TATATTCACATTTTCTTTATTAATTCATCTGTTGACAGCCATCCATGGTGTTTCCAGAGCTTAGCTATTGTGAATTGTACCACTATAAATATGGATATGCATGTAACACTGTAGTATGATGTCTTCAATGCTTCCAGAAAAATACCCAGGAGAGGTATAGCTGGATCGAGTGGTATTCTTTTTTTAAATTTTTTTGAGGACTATTTGTACTGATTGCCATAGTGCTTGCATTAGTTTATATTCCCACCAACAATTTGGGATGGTTCCTTCCCCAACCCTGTATCCTCACCGGCATTCATTATTTTTGTGTTCTTGATGACTACAATAAGACTACAATAAGATAGAATCTCAAAGTTGTTTTGATTTGAATTTTTCCAGTTGCTAAAGATGTTGAACATTTTTTCGTATACTTATTGGCCACTTGTACTTCTTCTTTTGAGAAGTGTCCATTTGGTTTGTTTGCCCATTTTTCTTCTTTGGGTCATTTGCTTTTAAAGGTAAATTTTTTTTAGCTCTTTCTGTATATTAGATGTTAGTCCTCTATCAAAAGAGTAGCTAGCAAATTTTTCCTCTTATTCTATAGGTTGTTTCTTCCCTCTGTTGATTTTACTTTTACTGGGGAGAAGAGTTTTATTGATGCAGTTCCATTTGTTCATTCTTGATATTATTTCCTATGTTATTGGATTTCTATTCAGGAAGTCTTTGCCTCTGCCTATGGCTTTAAGTGTTTCCTCTATGCTATCTTACAGCAGTTTCAACATTCTACTGTTATATCTAGGGCTTTGATTTGTTTTAAATTGATTTTAGTACAGAGTGAGAGAGATCTCTTCTGCCAATGAATATCCAGTGTTTGTTAAATAGCACTGTTTGTTAAACATGTCTTTTCTCCAAAATATGTTTTTGGTCCTTTTTTTCAAAAATCAGATGGCTACAGGAACACAGGATTTTTTCATATCTTCTGAATATTCTAGTCCATTTTTGTGCCAGTATTATGCCATTTTTGTTACTGTAGTTTTGCAATAAAACTTGAATTTGAGCATTATGATGCTTCTTCTAGCATTCTTTTTACTCAGGGTTAGTTTGGCCATTTTGGCTCTCTCTTGATTCTATATGTAATTCAGGATTGTTTCTCTAGTTTTGTGAAGAATGTTGTGGTATTTCAATAGGGATTGCATTGAATCTGTGCATTGCTTTTGCTAATACCATTCTCATAGTATTAGTTCTTCCTATCCATGAATGAGGGATCTTCCCATTTTTCTAATGTCTTTCATAATTTTTTTCTTCAGTATTTTGTAATTTTCATTATAGAAACTTACATTGTAAAAGATGTAATTTCATTTTTTCTCTGTAAAAGACTTTTTTACTTCCTTGCTTACACTGATCCCTAAGTATTTTTCTTTTCTTTTGAAGCTGTTGTAAATGGAATTGTTTTCTTGATTTCTTTTTTGGTAGGTTCATTGTTGGTGCACAGGAATGGTATTGATTTTTCTGGTTTTATGTCATGTATTTGCTTATTTTTATAAGAGATAAGAGATATTCCCAGGCTAGCATTTTAATTAGGAAAGGTGAAAGATTTGGAAGTAAATTATGAAGGATTTGAAAGTTTCCACTATATATTTGGGTGGGACCTATTTTCATACACTCTACAGATGTCACTAAAATAATAAAAGTAATACAAGCTACTTGTAATTGACTAATATTTGACATACTTTTTTCTACATGTTGAAGATTGAAACTAGATCCATGTCTACTACCATGCACCAAACTAAAGTCAAAATAGATTAAAGATCTAAATATTAAAACAGAAACACTAAATCTACTGGAAGAGAAAGTAGGTAAAAATCTTGAAGACATAGGGGTAGGCAGAGAGCTCATGAACTAAAACCAAACTGCATGGGAAATACTTCAAAGAATCAACAACTTGGATCTCATCTTACTGAAAAGTTTTTGCACATCTAAAGACATCACCAGCAAAGTAAAAAAAGAAAATCCACAAAATGGGAAAAAATTTTAGTCAGCTGTCCCTCAGACAAAGAACATATAAAGAACATATAAAGAATTAAATGAAAATCAGGGCCCCAAATTCAAAGACCCAATCCAAAAATGGACATCTGAGATAAATACACACTTCTCAGATAAAGAAACACAAATGGCAAATAAGTACATGGCAAAAAGTTCAACATCATTAGTCATTCGAGAAATACAAATTAAAACAACACTGAGATTTCATCTCACTCCAGAAAGAATGGTTGTCATCAAGAAATCAACCAACAACAAATGCTGGAGGAGATGCGGAGGGGCTGTTGGTAGGAGTGTAGACTGGTGCAACCACTGTGGAAATCAGTCTGGAGATTCCTTAGTAAACTAGGATTAGGGGTCTCATTCAACACAGCTATTCCCCTTCTGGGTATTTTTTCCACAAGAACTAAAACCATCATACCACAATGATATATGTGCGTCCGTGTTTATAGCAGTGCAATTTGTAATAGCTAAATCGTGGAAACAACCCAGATTAAAAATTTTAAAAAAACAAAATAGTTGCAGATAAGCTTATTTGTGACTTAAGGGTAACTTTTATTACCTGTTATAAAGAAAAGTTTTCTGAAGACACAGCTGCTTGACCTTAATTAACACCTTACACCCTAGAAAATAAAATAAGTGAGGAAGACATCAGCATCTAAGAAACTCACTCAGAGAGGAGTTGTACAACTTTCAGAGACAGGGAAAGAGACATTTTTCTTTTACAGGGATAAGATGTCTTCCCAAGGCAGGAAGATGAGGCATGTTAAACACCATTCATGGGGGATTTTATGAGAGAAGACATAATCACTCTGGTGTCGCAGTGCTAAAAATATTCTTTGTAAACTCAGTGGTTTCATGACTAGTGAAATAATGATTGGCCCATATTTTTTTGGATGATTCCTCTTCCCAGGAGAGAGGTCCTAAAATGACTAGCTAACTTCCCACACTACCTCTGTTTCTCCTTGGAGTAACGCATCAAGCCACAGCCATTCACCATGTCATTGGTCATGAGACTTAAATTATGGAGCAAGTCTGTTTCTTTGTGAAACTGGGAGGTTGCCAGAAATCTTTATTTAAGAACTACTACTCATAAGACTAATGAATTCCCAGATGACTTAATGCCCGGTGATCTGCCAGGGTTCATTGGCACTTTTTTTTTTTTCTGACATAATGAAGACATCTGGAAACCCACGCTACAGGCTATGCATAAGAATTGTCCAGCATGAGACTTCTAGGTGTTAGCCGCTAAGGTTTGGGGTCAGCAACTTATATTAAAAGGAGCTTTTAAATCACTGTTTCTCTTTTTTTTTTTTTTTTTTTTTTGGTTTTTCTCCGGTACCGGGAACCGAACTCACGACCTTGCGCTTGCCAGGCAGGCGCTTTTGCCGCTGAGCTAAATCCCCAGCCCCTAAATCACTGTTTCTATATCTTGACTGATTGTAATTTGTCACCCATGTTATAGCTAACAATATTTCACTGGATTCTTAACTTTGTACCTCTATCCTTTCAACATTTATAAATGAATAACAACATTGGGCTTGACCTTAGAATCTTAGAATCTTTCATGTACATCACCTTATTTGTTATGACAACCCAAAGGGCTGTGCAGACAGGACATTATTTTCTCCATTTTATAGGTAGGGAAATAAAAGTCTAGGGAATTAGACACGTTAACATGCTTAAGTCTTGCATCCCCCAAAATAAAAAGTGAAATGAAAGGACTCTGTCTCTGTGTCCACTGCTGCTGCATCGTTTTTAGAACCAAGTTTATGTCTATGCTCCTATCTCTCATTACACATTTACTTTGCAGACTGTTTTTGT